GTGTTATTTTACTTAAAGATAATTATTATATTGTAACGTGTATAGGATTCGTACACAATGAATATTCGTTAAGTTCGATTATCGAAAATAATTAACTTAAATTACACGCCTTTTGAAAGGATTTAATAGCTTTCATCAACAATTAAAACGTTGCATATAAAAATTTACTTAATAATATTCGTTTTATGACAAAAATCGCGCAATTTATATTCAGTGTATTCGTAAATAACTAAAAATAACTTTATGTGTTTTGTTTCATTAATGAAAATAGTAGTTAATTTCTTACTAAGAGACAATAATTTGCACAGAAGTTTAGAACATTGAGGCTCTCCATCCTGTCCAGCTTGTAATGAAGTGTCTAAAAAAAAACGATTAAACTTTTCGCAAAAAAAAAACATAAGCACTGTTACCTACCATTATTAATTGTTGAGCACAGGTCTACGCACCGACCACCCCCTGTGTCAGTTCTGTTTTCTAAAAAAAAAAAGATTAATACTCTTTCACGAGTTGACATGATTTAATTATTAATAGTGGTTAATATGAAGTACTATGTGAAAATTAATTTTCAATTTTCCGTCCACTACAAACTACCTCGAGTTAATGAGGGAAAACTTTTGTCGCTGTTGCCACACCCCCGCCGGGAATCGAACCTGGTACTGAGGTCGTTTGTAGTGGATGGAAAATTAAAAATTAATTTGATATTTTTACGCGTTCTGTCAAGTTTCAACTTCTTCAAGAGTGATTCACGACAAACGCACCTTTCAAGAAATAAAATGCGTGAAGAAATAATCAATCGTAAACAAAAGCGTGTCCGAACGTGGAAAATTAGTTTCAAAATATTTTCGGCACGCTTAATCAGCCGGATACCATCATCCTACGGTCTTTTGTATATGCCTCTAACATATGTACGTATTACATTTTCGATTGATTCGCTTTCGCGTGTTTATAAACGCTTAAGAAATATTTACTAAATATCGATCGCATCAAAATTTTTCACGGTTTACATTACATTAAGTAATTAGGTCCATTTAATCGTATGTACAGTAGGGACCATAAGAATTTAAACCCATTTTTCATCAAATATTTCCACGCATACGTGCGGTAACTCAAAATTTCCAATGAATTTATCAGATTACAGAAAAATAAATAAATTACAGAAGACACAACAAAATGATTTCAAACGCCTTCATATTTCAGCAGATACAATTAAAAATACTTGATAATAATAATAAATAGCGTTTTAATTCTTTTTTTCTTTTTCCCTTTGTTAATCCGATTTCAATAACCCAGTACTTAACGAATTGAACGAACAATAATTGCTACTAATTATTTGCTGCAAGTTGAGGACACTACGGTGGGACCGTTGAGCGATTTTTTAATTTAAACTTACAGTAAAAAAAGACGTTACAATTGGCGCATTTTTTCATCTTTTAATTGATACTATTTATCTTATCAGAAGCCGTAATGTAATCGCAAAAAATTATTATGATTTTTCTAAAAAAATTGTTAGGTACTTATGCGCGAAAATTAAAAAAAAAAAAAATTTCTACATTTACCAACAGTGGTCCAATTCTTCCATTGCAAGTTAACGTCATTTTTATCGGAGGGATTTCCCTTAATGACCCACTGCCAGCCCTTTTCCGTTTTTAATCGACCTTCGGCACCTTTATTAGCCCTTAGGTACTTCACTAAACAATACACTACGTTTTTTTCGTCACAATTAAACGGTTCTGTTGTAGTGGCAAATTGAAATAAAAAGACAACTACAATACAAAATTATTTAGTTAATGTTGGTGAGATATTCGACGTCATGTGTCCTCACCTGCGCCGAAAAAATAAATTTGTAATCTCGCAGCCGATACCATCTTTCAATCCAATCATTTACAAAAATAAAAGAAAATACTGTTGCTTTCAATCTTTTATTTATTGTTTGTTACTTTAATTACACAAATGGCTGTTAAAAAGTGCAGCAGCGTGATGCGAATGTTAACCGACCACGGAGTACACGATAGGATACAGTGTAATCGTAATTCTATTACCAATTAATGCTTCGACATTGTTCGATCATTTAAAATTCCCACACAGTTGACAACGGTCTCTACTAATTTATTGGCTCGTTCTATTGTTCACCATAGTTCTGCCAAATGCTAAATCGTAACACTTTCTAACGTTTTTTTTATATAGTGTATTGTTTTCCCATTCAGACCCACACCATCAAAAAAAAAAAAAAGAAAAAAAGAACGGCAACATCTTCTAACCTTCTTCTTTAAAAAAAATCACAACAGACTATTAAACAGAATTATACTGTGTGACATAAAATTATCCAGGGCAAACAAAACAACCACTAAAAACGACAATCAATGAGCATGTATAAATAGAAACAATTGCATACAATCAAAAGTCCTCACGTACTCTTTTATTACAATTATTATTATTAAGTAAAAAGCAGTTATAAATTACGAGATAGATTTACAATTAAAAAATCTTGACATCCAAGAAACGGAAAGAATGAACGAAACATGTTTTGGAGAATGGAAAGAAGTAAATGCTTACTGACTACGTTCGTGTGACGTCATGCGCGTAAGTTATGCGCAGAGAGCTTTTACCTCATGGCCGCTATCATTAACAATGTTTTCTAGCTATTTTTGGTGTCAATGAAAGTAAATAATTGAAGCGATTCGTAAATTATCCTTTTTTGTAGAAAACCAAGAAATAAGAGCCTTCTATTTTCTAAAAAGTTTAAAAAAATATAAAGTGCTGCGTACGTGAAATCGATAATGATACGAATTAGAAAATTAATGCGGCAATTGTAAATATAATTAGTAGTCTTCATTCTCGTCAATATTGGTTACTTTTATTGAGTTATAAAATTTAAATAATTGACGCAAACTAATTAGTTTTTTAATTAGGTTGGCCTTTCAAAACTTAATTTTATGCACAAACACAATAACCAAAATGTACTTTTTATTGTAGATTTTAATTGTTACTATTGCGCTATTCTCTCTTTCATTTTTACGCCAACGAGCGTTTTGCTATATTTTTTTTTATTTTGCTTTTTTTTTGGTGTAAACTCAAACACAATAAGAACTAAAGGTCAAATTTTGCCTGCATATCGGTCTTTTGTTACCCACCCGCACGGATTTAACACACCACATCTGTTATTAACCTTGTATATCTCTCAAACTCAAAGTTGAAATCGAAATTTGCGACTGACTAGCCATATCATTATAGATCAAAGAAAATCTCGTAATAAATGCGTTCATTATCGAATTGCATGTGTAACAGGTTAAACGACGCCCAAATGATCCTTAAATTCTAACAATTGAAAACACAAGAAAAGTCCCATTGTTAATTAAAAATTAAAAAAAAGACGTAGGCCATTTTGGGACACGCATCAAGAAAAATTTAATAAATGATTAACTATTACTTTTATGCATGTACGGTTGCCATTATTTGTTTGTGCATAATCAACAATCAATTCTCTTTATTTCATGCTACATTTAACAATAATTTATTAAGGCATTCTTAATAATTTATCTACATTCTGATTGGCCAACTAGTTGCAATGTTTTTGCTAATGATACCACTCATTAGTATATTACTAACTCTATTAAATAACAGGCGTTTCTTAATAGGTGGTGTGACGACGCCAATCTAATACAATAATACAATTAATGTTAATATTAAAAAAAAATACACATGAAAATACGTATATACCGTTTGATACTTTGCTAGCTCTGCAATACCTTTTCCTCTTCGTTTCAATTCAGTACCTTTATTTATTAGCCATTGAATATCAAAACGTTATCACTTTGTTGCAAGACGAACCCTAGACGTGACTTGTGTTTCATCTGTTACAAGTAACTCGTCTACTTCAGCTTGCAGCAAACAAAACGCGTCTAGATTGATATTGATATCATCATCATAAGGTCGTCAATCCTATCCTGAGCTAAACTTCGCATTTTCCTAAAACTAGAACAGTCCAAATCCTTAACTATTTGCGAACAGTAATCTAATCTAGGTCTCCTCTTAACTCCTGTTCCTGTCTCTAACATGTCTCTGACTAGACCTTCATGACTGAGAAGGTGTCCCACCAACGTATCTCGCCTATTTTTTATTGACTTCCATAGAGTCCTCTGTTCTCCTATTCTTTCTAATACCTCTTCATTTCTAACCTTTTCTACCCACGTTATCCTCATCATCCGCCTATAACACCACATTTCGAACACTTCTAACCTTTTCTTTTCCGCCGCGCCCACTGTCCATGTTTTGCACCCGTACAACGCCGCACTCCAAACATACACCTTTAACAATCTTTTTCGAATTTCTAAATTAGAAGTGACTTCTTTTTATTAAAGGCGACACGACTCTGCGCTATCTTCTGCTTTATATCCCTACTACTCCTTCCATCCTGACTTATCTGACTTCCTAGATATTTAAAATCAGCCACTTCTTCTAACTTTTCGTCTCCTATCTTTATATTCGCTCTTTCCCTACTTTTTCTTCCCTTGCACACCAGTATTTTTGTTTTACTTTTATTTATTTTCATATAGTACTGATCTGTCAGTAGGTACCGCTTCCATTTTATTTAAAACTATCTCTGGGTCCTCCTTGGTAGATCTGCCTTTTGCTCATTTTCTATCAAAATGTTCCCTGCCTCGCTTCTTATATTATTACCACTGTATCCTACATCTTTAAAATTCCTTTTGACTGTATTATTGATATTGATATATTAATATTTATTTGAGTGCATATTCGATTTTTTAATCAGTACTTTTAATACCAAATTATAAACAATCGAATATGATAGCGTTGCCTTTTTATTGCAAGATGAATTCTAGACATGGCTTGCGTTAGTTAACATTGAATCAAAAAACTATTAATGCAAAGAAGAAGACGTAGGATTTTATAAAGAATCAAGTTAGGTACCCAAATTTTCAATGAATATAACACGGGATGCAATTGTTTAATTTTTTGTAGTGTGTTTCTTTAATTTTTAGACAACCCATGGGATTGCTCGATGGATTTAGAATGGGTTCTAGCACTAAACTCGTCTTCGGTAAAAGACTTGAACGAACTGACTTGCCGTGGAGAAAATTACCCTGGAAAACCATTGACTGCCATAGCAACGTTTCAGCATGTAATGTATTGTAAAATTTAATAGTTAAGACATAAAATTTTTGATATAAACCCATCATGTTTTTCTGTGTTAATTTTTATTGAAATAATGAGAATAGAAAATACTACAAATGGCGCGGTAAACGCCATCTGTAGCACGATGCTACATTTTAGGATTACGTATGCTCCAACAAGGTCCACTTGTGTGGATATCTACTTGCTAAAAACGAATCCCGGCGTAGCATCCGAGTCTGGCAGTTTCGACAGAATACAGACCACTTCGAATTATTTTATTCGATTAAGCTAACGTGCCTATCACGTTGAGGTTAACTACCCCGGGATTCGTTTTCAGCAAGTAGATATCCACACAAGTGGACCTTGTTGGAGCATACGTAATCCTAAAATGTAGCATCGTGCTACAGATGGCGTTTACCGCGCCATTTGTGGTATTTTCTACAACGCACTGTTAAGACAGCAGGTAAAGGTTGGTCTGTGTTCTGTCGGAGCTGTCTGCAACGCGCTGATGAGATCCAAAAAGATCGAAATCGCGATCCGCGTCTGGCAGTTTCGACAGAACACAGACCACTTCTAATTATTTTATAATGAGAATATTTTTCACTTTAGGTACTTTGTACATAATTGAATTAAGATTCAATTTTTTAGGATCTACAAGAGCAATGTCCAGACAAATGCGACTGTTCGTTACCGAACGTGGTTCAAGACCCAGGGACAAGATTGCTACAGCCCATTGTGGCACTAGACTGTTCTGAAGTTGAGTTGTCCGCTTTCCCCGAAAATTTACCGAATTATACCACCATTCTCCGATTAGAAGGGAACGAAATCGAAGATCTGGCTCCCTTGAAGAAGAATCTAGCGTACAAAACGGTCCAAGACCTTTATTTGGACAACAACAGAATTAAAAGCATCAGTATTTTGGAAGGAACTTATTGGCTATCGCATTTTCGTGTCCTATCACTTATTGGGAACAAATTAACCCAGGTATGGATCATTTGGAAGACTGTCTGTCCAAAAATTTGCATTTTATTTGTTTATTTATTTATTGCAACAAATCTCAGTGTTATAACTCTAAGCTTTATTTCTCCAGCTGCCAACTTATGCGTTAGAAAATGCGCTGGAGCAAAATCCGAATATGCCCAACGCGGTGAGAATTTATTTCGGGGATAACCCGTGGAGATGCGACTGCGCGTTTGTACCAGGATTCCAAGTAAGGCCTTTAAAACTCTGTTAATTGTGTAAGAAATAATTTTTTGCAAATTTCTACAGGACATGCTTAGAAAATACGAACACATAATTCAAGACATTGAAGAGGTCCAATGTTCTTACGTTGAAGGGGACGAAAACTCATTAAACCCCGTATGTAATTTTACCCCTCGATATACTTTGCAAAATTCTACGATCGATGTTCTTTTCTTTACCGATTCTTGAACCGATGTCTAATAATCGAGTAAACAATAATCAAAATTTTAAATAAACTATCCATCAGAGCAAGCGTTCATTGCTGCTTATGCGCAAATTGGAGTAGGCCCTTATGTTTCAGTTGTTAGAAGTGATTCGCTTATTTTTCGTTACAACAGTAAAATTGCATTTATAGGCGCAACATGCATTTCATTTGTTAAGAGGTGATTCATTTGCATCTTCGTTGCAACAGTGAAACTACATTCGTAGGCGTGGCTTGTTCCTCAGTTGTTAAAACTTTGCAACAAAAGAACTGCATTCGCAACCATGACATATGATTCAATAGGGTCGAAGTGATTCGCTTATTTTTCCTTGAAACAATGAAAGTTCATTTGTAGGCGTAAGTCTTTGCAACGATGAGACTGCGCTTATTTGCGTGGCTTCTATTTCAATTGTTAGAAGTGATTCGTTATTTTTCCTTTCAACAATGAAACTGTATTGATTGGCGTAGCTTATATTTCATTCGTATGAGGTGATTCGTATACTTTTCTTGCAACACTGAAACTTCATTTATTGACGTAAGTCTTTGCAACGATGAAACTGCGCTTATTTGCATGGCTTCTATTTCAATTGTTAGAAGTGATTCGTTTATTTTTCCTTGCAACAATGAAACTGTACCGATAGGCGCAGCTTTTGTTGCATTTATATGAGGTGATTCGTATACTTTTCTTGCAACACTGAAACTTCATTTGTTGACGTAAGTCTTTGCAACGATGAGACTGCACTTATTTGTGTGGCTTGTGTTTCATTTGTTAGAAGTGATTCATTTATTTTTCCTTTCAACAATGAAACTGTATTGATGGGCGTAGCTTATATTTCATTCGTATGAGGTGATTCGTATACTTTTCTTGCAACGCTGAAACTTCATTTATTGACGTAAGTCTTGGCAACGATGAGACTGCACTTATTTGCGTGGCTTCTATTTCAATTGTTAGAAGTCATTCGTTTATTTTTCCTTGCAACAATGAAACTGTATCGATAGGCGCAGCTTATGTTGCATTTATATGAGGTGATTCGTATACTTTTCTAGCAACACTGAAACTTCGTAGACGTAGTTTATTTTTCTTTGCAACGAGGAGACTGCGCTTATTTGCGTGGCTTGTGTTTCAACTGTTAGAAGTGATTCGCTTATTTTTTCTTGCAACAGTGAAAATTCATTTGTAGACGTAGCCTATGTTTCTTTGCAACAATTAAAGTGCTATACGATTGGTCAACTTTTAATAAATAACAACGGATTGGGAAATTGTAGAAAAGGAAAATCCCTAGAATTTTGCAAAGAATCCAGTAAAAAGATTTTTTCTCATTTTTCTCTGTTGCTTCGTTGAAGGTTTTAGNGAAAGAGGGGAAATTATGAATAATTTCCTTCGCTTTCTCAAAACCCCAGATATCACTTTACGACACCCTTCTTCCCTTTAGTAACACACAAATTTCATGCATCCAGATTGTAAAACTGATTAAAAATAAAACGAAATTGTGAATTATTTCCTTCGATTTTTGAAAGACACATTTTCGTCAAAACGCATGTCACTTTACGACACCCTGTCGCCTTTTCATAGCACACATATTTAAATTGACTTAGCCACTGTAAATAGCAATACTCCATAAGGGCTTTGGACCTTTTGAACGCCACCTTAGCAAGTTTAATTGTTCTTATACTGGGCAAACTTGCTTACGATTATTACAATTTTAAAAAAACCGGAAGACTGCCCTGGATAGTAACCAAAATGCCTTAATTAAATATAATTACGCATTTATTACCGAACAACTTCATACAATTTTGAGCTGCATCTACGGGCATACAGGTACATTTTATTCTTTGTTTATTTTAAGAAAAAATCTCGTATAGAATAAAAACAATCAAATTTATTACATCATAAACAATTGTTTGTATTGTTATTGCTTCGTAAATTTGATGTGTTGATAAAAAATAAAAATAAGTAAAGAAATTAAATCCAATAAGAGAATTAAGAAACAAGAATAAATAATAAAAAAATATTTATCGCCTTACCTTTGGTGTCAAAGATACAGTGGCTGGCCTGGGACATTCAGGGCCGGATGCATAAGTATTTTTTGGGACCCCCTTTCAAATAAAAATAAAAAACAAACGTCAAAAGGCATGTCATCTAACGACACCCTACTGTCCTTTTATAACACACAAATTGAAATTCGCATGAATCACTGCAAAAGGTGAAATTTGACGCGTCCAAATCCACATTTGAAAACTGCTTAAAAAGGAGCGGAAGTTTTGAATCATTTCCTTTAACTTCTCAAAAATGCATTTCCGTCGAAACACATGTCACTTTACAACACCCAGTCATCCTTTGATAACACACAAATTTAAATTGATTTGAGCCACTGTAGGGAGCAAAACTTTGCGCTTTTAAATTGACTCAAAGGGAGTGAAAATTTATGAATTACTTGTTTCGATTTTGTGATCATTTCTTTTGATTTTACAAGGACACATTTCCGTCAAAACGCTTGTCATCTTACGACACCCTTTTATAACACACAATGTTAAATTAACTTAAGCCACTGTAAAAAGTAAAACTTCGCGCTTTCAAATTTGATGATTGTTTAAGAAAGAGGGGAAATTATGAATAATTTCCTTCGCTTTCTCAAAACCCCAGATATCACTTTACGACACCCTTCTTCCCTTTAGTAACACACAAATTTCATGCATCCAGATTGTAAAACTGATTAAAAATAAAACGAAATTGTGAATTATTTCCTTCGATTTTGGAAAGACACATTTTCGTCAAAACACATGTCACTTTACGACACCCTGTCGCCTTTTCATAGCACACATATTTAAATTGACTTAGTCACACTGTAAATGGCGAAATTTCTCGCGTTCAAATCCGAAGATTGCTTAAGAAAGAGGGAAATTATGAACTATTTCCTTTAATTACTCAAAAACCCAAAGCACATGTCACCTTACGACACCCTACCTCATTTCAATAACACACAGATTTCGCCAATCGACATTTTAAAATTGATTAAATATAAGCCGAAATTATGAATCATTTTCCTCGATTTTGCAGACACATTTCCTTCAAAACGCTTGTCACCTTACGACACTCTTTTATAACACACAAAGTTAAATTGACTTAGGCCACTGTAAAGAGTAAAACTTCTCGCTTTCAAATTTAGAAATTGTTTAAGAAAGTGGGGAAATTATGAATCATTTTCTTCGCTTTCTCAAAATCCCATTCCTGTCGAAACAGGTACCATCTTACGACACCCTGCTTCCCTATAGTAACACACAAATTTCATGCATCCAGATTTTCAAACTGATTAAAAATAAACCGAAATTGTGAATTATTTCCTTCGATTTTTGAAAGACACATTTTCGTCAAAACGCCTGTCACTTTACGACACCCTGTCGCCTTTTCATAGCACATATATTTAAATTGACTTGGTCACACTGTAAATAGCGAAATTTCGCGCGTTCAATCAGAAGAAAGAGTGAAATTATGAACTATTTCCTTTAATTACTCAAAAACCCAAAACACATGTCACCTTACGACACCCCACCTCATTTCAATAACACACAAATTTCGCGCATCGACATTTTAAAACTGACTAAAAATAACCCGAAATTATAAATCATTTCCCTCAATTTTGCAAAGACACATGTCATCTTACGACACCTTCTCACCTTTTTATAGCACACAAATTTAAATTGACTTAACCACTGTAAATAGCGAAATTTTGTCGTCCAAATCTCGAAATTGGTTAAAAAGAAGAGGAAATTATGAACCATTTCCTTTGATTTCTCAAAAACCCATTTTCGTTGAAGCACATGTCATCTTACGACACCCTATCTCCTTTCAATAACACACAAATTTCGCGCATCGACATTATGAAACTGATTAAATATAAGCCGAAATTATGAATCATTTCCCTCGATTTTACAAAAACACATTTTCGTTAAAACACATGTCATCTTACGACACCTTGTCCCCTTTTTATAGCACACAAATTTAAATTGACTTAGTCACTGTAAATAGCGAAATTTTGTCGTCCAAATCTGGAAATTGGTTAATAGGGAAGGGAAATTTAGAACCATTTCCTTTGATTTCTGAAAAGCCCATTTTCGTTGAAGCACATGTCATCTTACGACACCCTATCTCCCTTCAATAACACACAAATTTCGCGCATCGACATTTTAAAACTGATTAAATATAAGCCGAAATTATGAATCGTTTCCCTCGATTTTACAAAAACACATTTTCGTCAAAACACATGTCATCTTACGACACCTTGTCACCTTTTTATAGCACACAAATTTAAATTGACTTAGCCACTGTAAATAGCGAAATTTTGCGCGTCCAAATCTAGAAATTGGTTAAAAATCAGGGGAAATTATGAACCATTTCGTTTGATTTCTGAAAACCCCATTTTCCTCGAAACACATGTCACCTTACGACACGCTGCCTCTATTTTATAGCACACACTTTTAAACTTACTTGAACCACTATAAAGACTGAAGTTTCTGTCGCGCTCTAATATCACACAAATTTAAATTGGAATATGGGGCCATTTTGGGGCTCCATGAGTCAAAGGCCCAATGGAAATGGATGCTAAAAGTACCTAAGTATATAT